ACCAGAAACCACCACTGCAGAGGCACAAGAAATATGGGAAATCAAGAAAATATCTCTCCCCCAAGGGGAAAGAACAGCCTTTTACCATCCACAGACAGTACGATGGAACCTGTGGAAATGTCAGATAAAGAATTTAGGGTATTCATAGTGATACAACCAACAGAGATGCAAGAGAAGAGAGACAATGAACTCCAGAAAATGTTGGAGAAAGAGACACTGAGTTCTAGGAGGTGAGGAAGTTCTTCCATGATCTTAAAGAGGAGATAGACACCATAAAAAAGAATCAAATGGAATTGGCAGAGGTGAAGGCTGTAATAAAGGAAATCAAAACCTCCCTAGAAAGAATTAAAAGCAGATTAGATCATGCAGAAGAACGAATCTCAGATGCAGAAGATAGAAACTCTGATCTAGAAAAGTTCACCAAAAAGACTGAAAAAATAACTCCCCAAAATGAGAATAATATATGAGTAATACTAGATACCATTAGACACCCAAACATCCAGATAATCATTACCCCATAAGGCGAAGAAACTAATCAGGGCATTGATAATCTATTCCATGAAATCCTGGAAGAAAATCTTCCAAACCTAGAGAGTCATTCAAATATCCAGACCCAAGAAATACAAAGGACCTCACATAAGAATCAATCCAAGAAGATCTTCTCCAAGGTACACCATAGCCAGATTGACCAAAACCACAGAGACAAGATACTAAAATTGGCAAGAGAAAAACGTCAAGTTATTTCCAAAGGATATCCCATCAGGCTAACATCAGACCTCTCATTGGAAATAATGCAAGCAAGGTAAGAATGGGAAAATATATTCAAAGTATTAAGTGAAAAACAATTTCAACCAAAAGTACCACATCCAGCAAGATTATCTTCATGTGGGAAGAAAGGTAAAAACATTCTCAGATAAACAAACCTGAAAGAATTTACCAACACCAGACCAGCTCTTTGAGAAATTCTGAAGGGAGTACTATTCCAGGAAAACTGACAGACAAATAAGAGAACAAAAAACAAAGACCAAGAAAAAGGCCAACTTAATGGTAGGGACAAGTTCTGAAATATTAATAATAATGTTGAGTGTTAACGGTGATGATAACGTGTATAGTATCCCCAAACTGTATCTGGTATCTAACCATTTTCTATGTTTCTATATCCTCTAGTCATTCAGTTTCAGCCCTAGAGTGCAGAGAGTCAGTTTATATTAACTAGAGACATACAGTGTCTCTCCTTCACAGCCTGGTTTGCTTCACTCAGCAGTAAATCTTCCATGTTCATCCACTTTCTGTCAAAAGCCAGGATCTTGTTGTTTTTTATGGCCGAGTTGTATTTCATAGAGTATATGTGCCACACTTTTTCAATCCATTTTTCTGTTCATGGACATTTGGGTTGGTCCCATGTCTTAGCAATTGTGAATAACACAATAAACATAGATGTGCAAGCACTTTTATGACTAAGCATTCTTCTGTCCTTTGGGTAGATACCAAGGAGATTGCTGGATCATATGGTAGTTTTCTTGGTAGATCTTTGAGGAAACTCCAAATTGTTCTCCACAGTGGCTGGACCAATTTACATTCCCACCAGCAGTGTAAGAGTTCCCCTTTTACCACACCCACCAGCATGTACCTTTTTTTTTTTTTTTTTTCCTGAGAGGTTTTTGCTATAGTGGCATGCGCTCGCCAGAGAGACAGAGAGAGGTAGAGAGACAGAAAGCAAGAAATCACTCCCCAGGGAGGATGGCCATGCCAGAATCCCCTTGCCTCCATTCTCCTCTTGGGATCTTGGGTACGCGCACACACGCATGCCCGGCGTGAGTTTAAGCCACCGGGTCCGGGACTTGAACCACGGTCAACTACATGGGAGTTCAGCAACATGGCCATTATTCCTCTCACTGTGGTTTTGAGCTGCATCTCCCTTATGATGAGGGATGTTGAGCATATTTTCATATGCCTTTTGGCTGTTTGTCTTCCTTAGAAGAGTTGTTTTTCCAGCTCATTCTCCCATCTTTTAATTGGGTTGATCATCTTTTTTTGGGTAAGTCGCTTGAGTTTTGTATGTATTCTGGTTAGCAGTCCCTTATCTGAAGCATAGTTTACAAAAATATTCTCCCATTCCGAGGGCTGTCAATTCACACTAATTACTGTACTTTTTGTGATGCAGAAATTTCTTAATCTGATGTAAACCCACCTGTCTACTTTTGGGATTACTGACAGCTTTGGGAGTCTTATTTTAGAAGTCTTTTCCTACCCCAATGTCTCCCAGAGTTTCCCCAATGTTTTCCACCAGTAGTTTTATAGTTTGAGGTCTTAGGTTTAGATCTTTGATCCACTTTGAATTTATTTTTATTTTTTTTTTTTGGAGAGGTTTTTGCTATAGGGCGCATGTGCTCACCAGACAGACAGAGACAAAAAGCGAGAAATCATCCCCCAGGGGGGATGGCCATGCCGCAATCCCTTCTCCTCTTGGGATCTTGGGCACACGCACCCGGTGTAAGCTTAAGCCATAGGGGCCGGGACTCGAACCGCGGTAGACTACATGGGAGTCCAGCGACATAGCCATTACGCTAACTGCTGGTCCCAACTTTGAATTGATTTTTGACAATGGTGAGGTAGAGACAGACTCATCTTTCTGTAGGTGGATATCAGTTTTTCCAGCACCATTTGCTAAAGAGGTTTTCCTTTTCCCACTGGTTTGACTGGTACACTTTCTCAAAAATCAGCTGGCTATATGTTTGGGAGTTTATTTCTGGGATTTCTATTCTGTTCCATTGGTCCACATGTCTGTTTCTGTGCCAATACCATGATATTTTGATTATCACAGCTTTATAGTATATTTTCAGGTCAGGGAGTGAGATGCTGCGCACTCCACTCTTCTTGTGCGGGACTGTTTTGGCAATATGAGGTCTTTTATGATTCCAGACAAATTCTATGACTGTCTTTTCTAGATCTGTGAAGAATGTCTCTGGTACTTTAAATGGAATTTGCATTAAATATGTAGATTAATTTGGGTAGAACTGCCGTTTTGATTATATTAATTCTTCCAATCCAGGAACATGGGATGTCCGTCCACTTTTTGGTATCATTTTTAATTTTTTTTTATTTTTTTTACTTTTAGCTTCTCATAGTTTCCCTTGCAGAGGTCTTTAACTTCTTTGGTTAGATTTATCCCTAGGTATCTGATACTTTTTATGGCAACAGTATATGGAATTAGTTTCTTTAGTTCTATCTCAGTCTGCCTGCTGTTCATATAAAGAAAAACTGGTACAAAACAAGTTTATCCAGCTTCTCCACTCCTTTTCAGTATAGTATTGGAAGGCCTCTTCCGACTTCTGATTCAGATTCCCAAGTCTCATTTCCCTCAAATCTGAAATAGGCCCACTTTGTAGCTATATTTTTTTAAAAAGATTTTTGCCATAGAACACATGCATTCACCAGAGAGGAAAAGTGAGAAATGACCCCCGGGAGTGATAGCCATGTCACAATCCCTTCCTCCATTCTCCTGAGATTTTGGGCAGACATGCCCACATGCCTGGTGTGATTTTTAAGCTGCCAGGCCCAGGACTTGAACCATAGTTGGCCATGTGGGGTCTATTGTTGGTCCCAAACCTACTTTGTAATTTTAATGATTAAAGATGATAGTTATAAAACATCGAGTGTGATACCTAGCATATAGTATATCAAAAAATTAGAACCCTTCATTATTAAAGGCCCAAAGATTGGAGATAAAGGGCACAAGAGGAAGCAAAAGTCTGGTAAAGCAGAGGACCTGCCTGTGAAGGTGTGGGGTTGAGCTGCAGAGGGCCTGGCCAGTTTGTGGGAAGGATGAGGAACAAGGTGGCCCTAATATAGTTGTTTGCTAAGAGCCCAGTTCTGAAAGTGAGACTCTGTGGGATTAGGACTTGAGGCAGTAAAGTGTTTGGTCAGGGGTCTAACTCAGGACAGAGTCCATTAGGGAAATCTGTGAGACTTAAAATGCTGGGAAGGTCAAGCACCAGCAACCAGTGGCAGAGAAGCCAAAGCCACACAGCAGGATAGGATTGTGGAATTTGCAGAGATAGGGGATGAGTCACCAATGGTGGGGGTGGGGCTGTGACCACCTAGAGTGTCTCTGAGTTCAGGGGAGGTGACTCCACTGGAAGGACAGTGCCTGTGTGTTTCAGGATGCCAGAAGGAGCCAAGGCAGACACCTCCAGCTTTATATTGTAGTGACTGAGGATGTGGGGGAAAGACAGTGCCACAGTCACCGACTCCACACCTCAAGTATGTGACAGAGGGAAAGGTGCACGGAAGAGGTCACATAGCAATTTCTTCTTCTCCATTTTCCATCCTGTCAAGATTTTGGACATGCACACATAGGTGCCCAACATGGTTTTCAAGCTGCTGAGGCCAGGACTCAAATCATGGCTGGCCATGTGGGATCCTGCTCCCTTAACCAGTAGGCTATGGGGCCAACCCTACAAATGATCACTATAGGACATGGCTAAAACACATTCAGGTGTCTGAATGTCACAAGAGGTCCACTGCTTCCCCTGCTCTATCTACATCTGAACCTTAACCATTTCATCTCCTCTTTGACCACATCTATGACTCAAGCTAACATTCATTCGGTCGCTAATAACAAAATCTCCCAAACTGGTTGATTTATAAAAACAGAACTTTCTTCAGCTGATGGTTTAGCAGTCCAAGGTCCAGGGGCCACATCTGGAGAGCATCCTGCAGAGTCACTATCACATCACAAGGGTCAGAGCAGAGCGGCTGTCTGTAAGGGTCTCTGTTTCATTATCAAGCCAGAACTCAATCATGGGGGACCACACCAAAATGAATTGAATCCCAATCTCTTCCCGAAGGTCTCGCTTTAACTGGATCAAATTTTCGCCCTCTTAATCTCGTTACAATAGCTCGACTCGTGCATTTGGGGGGCATGTATTCAAACTATAACACAGGGGAAAGGAATGCAGTGAGCATCGAGAATTTCACAACAGGGATCCAGTGCTTACCTTCACAGCCAATATTTTCCCACTCGGGACGTGGTATGCTCTATGGGAAGAAAAGAAATAACAAGTTCACTTGGGATGGTTGAACAACCTACAAAATGGTTAAGAACAGAAACACAAATCTAAACATCTCTACAGCAATGGGATATACCATAGGTTCAAAGAACACTAATAACATCAGTCATTTACATGTCTGTGGAAGCGAATGGTTTACAAAGTGACTCGTTATGTTATCTCAAAAAAACCCTTTACAGTAAAGCAGGTAGTAGTCCCCTCCTTTTATAGACGCAAACTCTGAAGCACAGAGGCTGAGCGGTTGCTGTGGGGGTACCTCTGCGGTCCCCTCCTAAGCACTGCACAGAGCCACATGATGGGAGGTTTTGCTTGTGTTTCTTTCAAGCATTTGCAGGTGAACGCTATTACTATACTTCATCAAAATCCCAGAACACAATTAGCTCTGGCTGACAATATAATTTCATATAAGAAATCGTAGGGTATAGGGATCAACCAATTGGTTCATCTTTTCCTAAAAAATTCGACGTATCAGATATGGCAAAATAACTACAACTGAAGTCAAGAAATATGAATATGTTAATTTATGGAAATAAGTAACAGAAAAAAAGGTTTACAGAAGTGAAAAATCATTACTTTTTATCAAGACTGGGTTTAAATGAAATGTGGCCTTTACACGTTTCCTGCCAGGACCACATACTCTGGCCATGCTCCAGAAACAATCTGCCTTATTAAAGTTTCAAAACAAACGACATGACATAAACAAGCAGTCACTGTACAGCCATAAAAGGGTAAAGATGCCAATCAGTTTGGAAGAATTAAAACCTTTCTCTGGAGAGAATTTCACACATTAGCCAAGATCAGATTGTTCTTTCTCTCACTCAACTAGTGTTAAGATGTAAATGGGAGGAGGAGCAGCAGGTGGCATGCTGATTAGGGCCCTGAACTCCCACATGGCCGACCACAGTTCAAACCTGGCAACTTGCTTTCTCACTTTCCCTCTCTCTCTTCTCTCCTGGTGAGCACATATACCATATACAACATTTAAAGAGTAATCATAATAAGTTAATTAAAGACATGATTTTTCTTTTTTTAAAAAATTTTAAAGAGGTTTTTTGCTATTGGGTCCATGTGCTCACCGGAGATAGAGAGAGACAGAGAAAGAGAAAGCAAGAAATCACCCCCTGAAAAGGATGGCCATGCCACAATCCTTTCTCCTCTGTTTTCTTCTCGGGATTTTGGGCATGCACATACATGCACCCAATATGAGTTTTAGGTCGCCAGGTCCGGGACTCAAACCATGGTCAGTTACATGGGAGTCCACTGACATAACCATTATGCCATCTGGTGGTCCCAAAGAAAGAATTCTTTAAAAAAATTTAAAAAGATGTGAATGGGGTAGGGAAGATGTATGGGAATAGAAGTTAGACCCTCAAGAACTCTCTGTACTTATCTGCTCAGTTGTAAAATATATTTACTAGTTCCCCAAATTGCAATTCTCTTACAATAAAAATAAAAACAAAACTTACATATTCTACTACTGTTACTAAGGTGAAAACACTGTTTCCTGCTCTTTTGGTAGAAATATTTGTTTGGTTGCACTGATCATTTTTTTTTAACAACTTTTAGAGCTTTACGGTAAAATCACATTTTAATTACATAAATTTTACAGATGATAACATTTTTCATATGATAAAATTTACTCATGTAAATTTTAAGGTGCAATTCAATGATTTTTTTTTTTTGAGAGATTTTCACTGTAGGGCGCGTGCGCTCGCCAGACAGACAGAGAGAGACATAGAGACAGAAAGCGAGAAATCACCCCCCAGGGGGGATGGTCATGCCTCAATCCCTTCTCCTCCATTCTCCTCTCGGGATCTTGGGCACGCACGCACACGTGCCCGGCGTGAGTTTTAAGCCACCGGGTCCGGGACACGAACCGCGGTCGACTACGTGGGAGTCCAGCGACATAGCCATTACGCTAACTGCTGGTTCCCGCAATTCAATGATTTTTAGTAAATTAAGTGATGGCTGACAAATGTTTTGAAAGTGACTGACTTACAGAAATGGTTAGGTACTAGAGTCTAGGGGTATTCGTAAGATTTTTCACTTATAAAATGTTATTAATTCAGGAAAGACTAGGAAAAACATATATATAGTATTTATGTATTTACCCACACATATTATTGTTATAAGGACTTACCCACTCTCTCCTGCTAGCACCCTCTCACAAATTAAAAAGGAAAAGGGGCTGGCAGGTGGCGTAGTGGTTGAGGTGCTAGACTTCCACATGGCCAACCGTAGTTCAAGTCCTAGACCTGACAGCCTGAAAATCACAACAGATAAATAATAAATAACTTTTTAAAAAAAGAAAAGATGGGCTAGCAGGTGGCGTAATGGCTAAGGCACTGGACTATCATGTGGCAGACTGCAGTTCAAGTCCCAGACCTGTTGACTTGGAAATCTTTTTTTTTTTTTTTTTTTTTTTACTTGAGAGCACAGAGAGGTCAAGTCAATTATTTAATGTAAATTTTGCTTTTATTATATCAATTAAGTGTTCAGAAACTGGGGTATATCTTATTAAAGGTAAAGTTATAAATATTAGGTGATTGTTCACCAAAGTAAAAGTGTCCAAAGACTTTAAATTGTAACTTCCTTAGTATATTAGAGGACTTCAAAAAGTTTACACACGTACACACTCAAAATAATAAACTTAAAGTATGAGTTTATTTTGATGCAAAAAAATGTTGAAATCCATGTATAGTTTTTTCATAATACACATTTTCCATGAACTATTGGGAAGACCCTTACATATATTTTTTTTTTATAAAATTTAAATCATTCTTTTTTTTTAAATTTTGCTATATGGTACATGCAATTGCTGGGGAGTGGGGAGGGAAGAAAGAAAGAAAGTGAGAAATCACCCCCTGGGGTGGTGGGGTGGCCATAACACAATTCCTTTTCCTCCATTCTCCTCTCGGAATTTTGGGCACACACACTCATCATGTTTCTCAACTTGCTGGGTCCGGAACTGAAACCATACTGTCAGCTTTGTGGGGTTCAGCAACCCTAACCATCATGCCACTGGTGAGCCCCCAAAAGTCAATCAATTTTAAAAATATTTTACGTTTTGTATAAAGTGGTAGATTCTGTAGATGTAATCACTATACAATATTGGTTTAGAGGAAATTACCACTTACTTAAAATATCACACTTTTGGGGACCAGTGAATGGTATAGCGGTTACATTGCTGAACTCCCACATGGCCAACCATGGTTGGAGTCCTGGACTGACTTGAAACTCATGCCGGGGCACATGAGCATGCTTGCTCGAGATCCCAGAAGAAGAATGGAGAGGGGATTGTGGCATGGTCATACCCCCGGGGGGTGACTTCTCACTTTTACTCTCTCTGATGAGCAACACACGCCCTAAGGCAAAAAAAACTCTAAAAAATCACATTTTAAAAAGTTACATTCTGGGACCAGACGTTAGCATAATGGCTATGTTCGCGTCCCAGACCCGGTGGCTTAAACTCACGCTGGGCACGTATGCGTGCGTGCCCAAGATCCTCAGAGGAGAATGGCAGAGAAGGGATTGCGGTGTGACCATCCCCCCTGGGGGGTGATTTCTCGCTTTCTGTCTCTCTGTCTCTGTCTGTCTGGTGAGTGCATGCATGCACCCTATAGCAAAAACCTCCCCCCCCAAAAAAAAAACAAGTTACGTTCTAAGCTATCATTTGATTAATGCTATATCCAAACTCATGTAAAAAACTGATATATACAAGCGTACACTGTATATTCCTCAGTGAATGACAGAGAAGTTATTGGACTAAGCTACCTGAAATGTGATTAGAAGCACCTCAGTAAACTTACCAAGGTGCTGCCCTACTTCAATCAGGTAAACACAGGTAATATAATGTAAGATTTAATAATGATGCATTATTTTCCCCCTTGTATACCAAAGCTTCTCTCAGTTACAACTTTTTAAAATCCTGTATTTTAGAATCACTATCCAAAGACCGACATACGAAAACAAGGAGTGAACGCACACACAAGAACTTGAAAGGTGTAAGAAGAGCACTGCTGGGCCTGCGAACAGTAAGCAACGCCTGGACGTTCGAGGCCCGCTGCACCAGTAAGGGCACGATTAGCAGACAGTCCAACATAGAGCAATACTGGGCAGCTGGGCAACCTAATTAGCTTGTCAAGAAACCGATCTCTTTCCCAAAAGAAAGATCTCCTCTTTCCAAGTGAATTAGAAAGAGAGGCTTGATGATTTAATTATGACGCACGCTAATTCATCCGTGGAAGTTTGGGTTCGATTTCGAGCAATAAAGACGCTGCCTGGTTTGGTTTACAGCGCAATGACAGTACCGACGTAACATTTCATCATCGAGTAGAGCTGGATGACAAAGGCAAGGCCAGGCATGAGTCGAGGGTGCCCCTTAACTTTGCAAATGGCATTCTACCTGGAGAAAAGGAATTTGTTTACTTTCAACGGATACTGCATCTCAATTGTCTTGACCTTCTTCAACACATTAACTGTAAAGTGATTAATGAAGTTTGAACGGAGGCTCTGGTTACACCAAAAGACAACTATACACCTCTGCAATGTTTTAATTAACAGCTAACACTTCAAATTAGTTTGTTGTTGCCACAGTAATTACCTGTTCCATTATGGAGGAAGCATTTTTATGAGGTATTTTTAGGGCTTAGTCCTTGAGTGTTCCATTTTGTCTGTGACCAGCCCGGGCCTGCTGGGAATAGTCCCAGCCTTTAAATTGGGCACACATGTATTTGGGGTGGCCAAAGCTAGCAGCCTGGTGTAATCTGTACAAGTCTAGCGTAACCGACCTCCAGCATGGAAGCATGCTCAGTATCCACTCACTAGCAACACTGCATCGTGGTGGACTCCGTTTCAGCGTGGACTGAGCTAGGAGGGAAGAGAGAAATCTGTCTAGTTTAATCTCTTCCCATGACTTGTTATATGACTTGTCCATGCTCCGTCAGTAGCAAAGCCAGGACTGGAACT